AATAAAGCAGCAAAATGAGTACTTGACTGGTTTTTTTTTGGTGATCAAATGATGAGCTTTCATGTTATAATCTTTCTCATGGCCCTATCATACAAGTTGTAGGTAATTCATATTATGTTTTGAGCAGTTGGAGCAGCACAATACTGCTACTATATTGGTATTGTGACAGTATCGTGCAGTATCGCCTAGACCCACAATACCAGATACAGTATCGATATCGTAACGGTATTGTGATACGTTACCCAGGTCAGGTCCTTATAGGTATCGCAGTTTTGATACTGGTATCGAGTATCGTAACTAAAAGCGATATAATACTCAATACACATTTTGATGGTATCAAACTTCCGATACTATACCCGGTATCTGCAATACGATACCGGTATCGTAACTGTGGCACCGTTGCTAAAAGACCCGGTCACACTTGGAGGGAAGCAAGAGACACACTCCGTAGAGGTCCATCCTTGGGCGGAACTCTTGCTTTTTGTGGAGAGATCTCTTTGGGGATCTTGCTATGGTAGTTGACTCTCAGCTCCCTCCGTACATGTTTTTTGTATAAGTTTGTTGATTTCAAAAACTACGCCAGGGTGGGTGGGAGTATTTAAAAGTTTGTTAGTATGTATAAGATTTTTAATGTAGGAATTAGCTTTAAGGGTGTATGCAGTGAGGATAGAGAGTTGGCTGAAATTCAGAAAAGGAAACATGGTCACAGTGTTGAGGAGGAGGAAGTAGTTTGGCTCAAAGCTATATCCTTTGTATACTTGGATGATCTTGAGCGCTTGTGAGATCCTTCATATCCGTGCATTGATTAGCAATTTACACCGGATTGGTCTGTGATCTTACAATTTCCAATTCATTCCCCTTTCATTCAATCCATTCTCATGATGTTACTTTCTCCATGGAGACATCTAGCAGCAAGGAGTAATTAACAGAAAAAGGCAGTGAATCAAGTCTTCAATATTTAGTAGATGTGGGTGCAAAAATGGGGGTGAAGACTAACCTAAAAAAAACTCCATGATTTTGCCAACAAATTGACATATTTTGGTGGTGTTCCCAGAGCTCACGGAGGTACACTGAATTCCATTCTCAAGTGGAGAGGGAGTGTCAAAGATAGATGGGATGTCACAAGGTAAACAGAGGACATCTGGGTACCATGGAGTTTGGAGAGTAATGGAGAGGAAAAATTTCTCCTCTTTCCACTCTCACAATTCTATCCCGCACTTTCTAATTGACACTCCTGAAATCTGGATTCTTTGTAGAAAAATTTCTCTGAAAATTTTTTTCTTTAAAAACCCACCCACCACCCAGGGGGTTGAGACGCATGATCTTATCAGGCCTGTTCTCTCCTCAAAGGTGGGGAGCATAGGGAGGGGGTTCTCAACCCCATCCTAGCCCTATTCCACCTTTGAGACTACCCCCACACCACACC